TTATAGGTAATTTAACCAGAGCTTTTCAAAATAAACGATTTATAAAACACATAATTTCTTACCTGGAGTCTCCAATGAGACTCCAATCTGCTTGTGGAGTAGTGGGCGTGTTATTCGAAGCACTTGAAGTACTGATATCCTATATGTGAAAAAAAAATATGCCTCAGTCCTAACAACATTTTGATAATGTTATACATATACTGGCAAATTTAATGATGGTACTACACCTTTCAACAATTTGTTGTTACGTCCAACATTCTCTCGTCGAAAAGGCTTATCACAATGTGGCGAACATCTGGACGCCAGAGAACTTTCTAAACTGTTCAAAAAATCTATTTCCGGTCATCTGGGTAGGACACCCTTTTGGTCCAGGCAAAGGGTTCCCGGAAAGCTTTCACCGGAGATGTTATTGGACGCTCTCCATGGCGAACATCTGGACGCCAGAAAGCGTTCGAAACTATTCAGAAGAACTCTCTCCGTACATCTGGACAGCAGATCCTTTTGGTCCAGACAAGGACTCGAAGAAAACTTTCACCGGGGATGTTACTGGACTCGGGGATAAAAGGAACCAGGATCGGCCCGGAGAGTTCAGTTGTCAGTTACCATCGGCAGATCAGTCAGCAGTTACCTTTTTCGCGTCCGCACTTATATTATTGTTATTATTGTTGTAAATAAAATTTTGTTGTGGAAGACATTGGTTTTCCTAAAACTTCCTCTCGCTACTATCAAAGCATTAGCCCCGCACACAAACTCAAAAATTATTATAAACCCTCAAGTGTTCACATTGAAGCAGGTCTTCTCGCACACAACATAAAACCCATCTTTGATATATTTCTGGATACATTTGTGGGTTTGGAAATCGGTAGAAACTTCCATACCTTTGTACGCATCCACTAATGGCGCAACTTTTTGACATTTTCTGCTACAAGAAAATAAGATGCATATATATTTATTTTACAAATACCTAATCCAGTTCCATAATCAATGTTTAAATTTCAGAGGTTTTTTATGAGCATTAGTTTCCATATTATTTTAAGGGCAACTTATATTTAAAAATTTATTATGAAACTGGAGATCATAATATAATAATATGAAATAAATAAAAAAAAGTATATCAAATGTACTTACCACGAATAAAATTTCGTAAATTTCTTTAAAATTTACTATCAAACACAAAGCCGCATCAAAACACTAACCAACTTGACAAACAACTTAGAAAACAGTAGAAAAACAAATTGACGAAACGACTACTTAAATCCTAAAATATTTATTAATTTAAACTGCCAAGATAAAGTACATGATATAACGCAATGTAGCGCCATCTATCCCGTCGGCCCAATACTAAAAATGACGTCACTTTGTACGAACACGACGTTAATAAGTGCCAGGGGTATGGTGATCATACTGATCATACTTCTTAAATCTGTGCGATAAACGTAAGGTTTCAATAAAAAAGCTTCAATTCGGACAATTTTAGAGATAAATTATTAATGAATAAAAAAACAAAATGCTCATAAAAGAAACGTCTTTCATATAGGGTGTAAGCACTTTCTATACCATTACTTGATTAATACACAGGGTGAGTCAAAAATTAGGAAAAAAACATGGTTCCAGTTTCTCCACTACCATCCAGGAGTCATTGAAAAAATTTCCGCCTTTTTAATTTTTTTTTGAAAGACAAAGGAATTGGCTACTAAGAAATAAAAAAATAATAAAAATCGGCCCACTGGTTTAAAAAATATAAGATATTAAAATTAGGTCAAAAATCAAGTGCGTCACTTTTTTTGGAACTAAGTGTATATACTTATTATACGTAAAGCAATCTGGAACAGCTATTATTTTCACTATAACAACTCTATAAAGGACACTTTACTCTTTGAAAATTAAATTTTTTTGAAGTTTCAGTCAGTAATTCTTGCGTCAGCGGTTTTAAATTACACAACAACAGTTAAAAAACATATAACGATCTAAAATAACTCAAACTTTGCTGATTCAAATTGTTCTAAGTGTGTTTTATGTTTAAACTAGGGAAAAGAAGGTTTTTCTGGTTACACGGATATTAATTTTGCAAAATCATATGTTCCTAAAAATACAGCAAAATGCAAACCTAAAATGAAAAATAATAAATCAACATATGAATAATCCGAAACTATTCGAGCAGCAAACAAAAATACACTATTTGTATTAAAAACTAAATGGCTAGTTAAGAATAGAAGTGATTCAAGTAACATTTTGTTATTATTGAGATAATAAGATGATATCATTTCTTGGGACCCCCTGCCTGCGGTTGTTTCATACGACATGTTCATGATAATCTTTTCACCATCTGGTAAATAGAGATGAGTCCCAAACTTTAAAGTGTGTAACTGTCTGAGATAATAAACCTCACCTGTTTGTATGAAGGGTGTTGGAAGAGTACGCTGTAAGTCAAATGTGATTAAGCATAAAGAGTAGTCACTCAACACTTTGTGTTTATATGAATTCGTCAATGATCTGGCCCTTTCAGCTAAAATATGATGTTCTTTTTGCTTTGATTTAATCTGTAAACATTTCTCAATATCTTGTTCATGTTGAATGTCTATTCGAAATATATCACATGTTTTGCATGTATCCTTCTTTGGAATGTAAAAATGCAAATTATAGGTGTTAAAAATGGTTCTGTAGTAGCTTTTTTTAACAGGATCTTTACCAGCAGTTTTACATTTTTCAACATAAGATGAATAAAGTTTTTGCAGGTTTAAACTTGGTTCTAGATATTGGCGGTTAGGCGATCTTTCACCATAGTGGCTCACATAACGAGGAATACTCTCAATGTGTTGCTTTACAAATTCCTTGATGTCGTCTGCAATTTTATTTCCAGACACTTGTTTACCTCTGATCTGATATGGGCATGTTTGTTTCAGGCTCTCTCTTTTTTATAAGAGCATAATCTAACCTTTTATTAGATATGTGGAGAACATTATGAAAAAAAGGATTTAAAAAATTTATTCTCACCGAAAAAGAAACTTCGAGTATGTTGCTTATGACTAGGTCCTCTAGAGATGCGTTTTTTTCGCCTCATAGGCAAACTTATTTTAACAGTAGTGCATAGCCATGCAGTTTTTCCATTCCAATCCATGGTATAGAATTTAGAGTGAATAATCTTTTGCACTCTTGTAGGAACATGATCATTACATTTCCTTTTGCATGTACATAAAATAGAAGTAAAAGGTTTCGCTGGTACTGTTTTCCCAGAATAATTGATATACTGTTCACCTTTATTTCGTTTTTGCTTGATAACATTTCTCTTCCACATATTCTCATTTTTCCGTTTTCGAGTTCTCACTACTTTTTCTGATTGCCCCCGATTTTTGTAAACTTGATAAAGATCCTGCTCGACTTGTGGTCGATGTGTTATTAATATACTTAGATAAATTTTCAATACTTTCTTCTTTGGATTCAGATTCTTGTGATGGACGATATGGTTTACTACTGTCACTATAAGGATCTGGTTATGATTTTGAAAATTGATATTCAAGTATTGCAATTTCAGTATCAGAAACAACGTCCATGAGACTCATTAAAAAGTATTACACAATATTATCAGATTGTAGTTCGTTATGGATGCAGAATTGCAACATGAATTTAAGAAAAGGTTTAAATCATGACACTAAAGAGGCTTCTTTATCGAGCATACGATAATTAAAGGTAAACTCACCAATTGTTGAGGCACCATTACTCGTAGCAGGCCGATCTGAGTTTTCAACGAAAGCAGCTTGTTTTGCTAAAGCTAAATTAACTAATATTTTAGACCAAGTAAACATTTTCACAATTAACAGCACGATTTGGCGTCACCAGTTTTACCACGTTATTTTGATGAACAAACTTCTTTAATATAACTTTGTAAGAGACTTTAGCTCGTTCCACCAATTATGATTATTGATACGCAACATTGACAGACGTATTGTATGATATCGATGGTCTCAAAGCAATACCGCGTATCTCAAAAATGTGAACTTTACAGGACGTAAAAAAAACGTAATTATTTGATCAAAAATGTAAAATTTGATTTGAAAATTGGTTAAACAATAAAGAAAAAAGTTTCTTTTTAATTGTTAAAATATTTGTAGATAGAGTATTGATATAATATGGAGTTTAGGACATACGAGGTATTGAAACTAAAAAAAGTAAACTTCGTGGTATTACAAGTATACTTGTGACATTTATTAGAACAATAATACCTATTATTTTACATAATAAATCTTAAATAAATCTAATATAATAAATTAAAAAAGTGTCAAAATTAAGAATGGGGTAAATTTTTAAAATAACTCCAACAGTCCTGGGGTAAAACTGATTTTAATTGTTGTAAATGTTCGTATTTTTGTTTCTTTATTGCTAATCTATTTTGGTGTAATGCTTTGAAATCATGGTTTACTATTTTTCAAAATTGACCAATTTAACTTGATACGGCTCCGGATCTCTCCTAGCGTCTTCTGTCACGCGAGCATAATCACTTGTCAAAAAAATCTTCCTGTTCTTTAGCTTTCGTTCGATAGTGGTATGTACACTGTCACACTCCATTTGTGTGTGACCTATCACCAAAAATTTTTGTTCGATGGTAATATTTAATTCGTGTGCCAAATGCAAAAGTGCATTGGCCATGACACTATTTCGATTCTGGTAAGTGCAGTCATCTGAATAAATAATAATCGGCTTCCCATCTTGCAAGTTGGCTTTAATATAATCTAATACGAAAGATGCAAAGGTGGATGCTTGAAGATCTGATTGTGTTTCGTCAAACCATTAGAAGTGCAGTGATGAGTTGCCACATTGTATACAGTAAAATTATGAGTGCACAGTTTTAATTTAAAATATAAACTGCTTGCCATCAATGATGGGCACACTTTTACAGCTTGGAGGTCTACTGTTAAAACGTGATGGCTACCCATCAATGCTTTTTCTTTATCTTTCGTTTTTTCTTCTCTTGCCCTATTTTTTTCAGAAAATAAACTCGAAAGAACGATGAATAATTAAATTTATTAATGTAAATTCGGTGCTATTGACAATTTCGAACGCCTGGCGTTCCTCATCAGGCACGACTACGAGAAACAACAAATAAAGATTAAATTAAATTTGTACATATGTGGAATTTAAAATTAATTGATCAAAGAATCCTTACAAATCTTAAAATAGTTACAAGTGAAAAAATAAAAAATATTTACCGTCAAACGAGGAGCATCAAGTTGAGGGTTTTCAGGAATACATTGAGTCTTTGTAAAATCATTTATGAGATTGTCTCCAATGAAATATGAAAAT